GCGTCTTCCGCTCTTACCACCTCTCCCTGTCTTCGTGAACCACGGTGCTGACTTATCTACAGGGGAGCTGGCAATGCTAAGTGCCCTTAACCAAGGACTTGAATGCGAAACGGATAAACGTTGCACGCGTTTCTCTATTTCCCCCTTCATCTGGTCTTGGACTAAAGAACTCGTACTCGTACTCATTACCCTGCATTCTTTTACTGCTTTGCTTTGCGGTTGCTTTCGGACTTGACTTACCTCATGTTCGGACCCTTTGGACTCTTGTTTGACTTACTTATGAGTATACTTAACGTTGTAACGATCCCTTTTGTTCCAATTCTGATAATTGTTTGTTTGTTTCTTCGATTCTCTCCGTCATTCACCGTACCGAATTGAGTGCAATGGAGGCTAAATTCGAGTGATTGACTTGTGAGCTCGGAGCTTCCCAGCCTACACAGTGACTCAATGGTTGTTGAATGTTGAACCAAGGCCACCTACATCATAACGGCAAGAGAATTGAACCTGATTAGCCTAGTTATCCTCAAATGGCTAAACCTCGAGAGAGCGCGGCGCACTAAAGTAACAGCACTAATATCATGCGGACTCCCAGGCCTCGAAGGTTCTTTGATTTTTGATTTTTGATTCTCGACACTCTGCTTCATAACATCTAACATGCTACAGCAACCGCGAAGGTTGGAGGGATATAGATAGCACAAACAGCTGAATTACACCCGCGTCCTCGTCTTACCAGGAATAAAGCCATCAAGGATCAAATTGGTAATCTCCTGTGGCGGTAGGTGTTTTATACGAGTCAGAATTCTATAGACCATAGAGGGTTAGATACTTATGCCATTACAGCTCAAACCATAGACAGGTAGACTGATCCTCGGTCATGGACTTATCACCGTCCTAAGATCAGCAGCGAATTTCCGAGCGTCCCGCGTACTGCTGTTAAGATGAGGTGAGATGAGACCGCATCCGGAACTTTGGAATGGTCTCGGAAGGTGGAATCTGGCGAAGACGGTGTGCGGTGTGTGGACTTTGAGAGGGGTGAAGAGAGTGAGTTCCCACGTTCGGGCCTGGCCCCTACCCTGACCCCCGAAACACGGTCACATGATGTTCGAAAGCTAGCCATCAAAAGCTTCGAGACTCAAAACGCGCTCTTTTTCATCCCCCTCATGAGTTTTTTAGCTTAGGTTTTCTGGATCTTGCAAGTGAGAAACCCTCCCAACGTTTTCCTCAGGTAATGTACGGTACCGGTCACTTGGACTCGGCGAGGTTTAATCCAAGTTGTATCCAGTACAGTGGGCCGTGGTGGCACAAGCTTGGCCGATACATTTGGAACCCGTCTTGCCGCTAGTTAGCACAGGCAGTGGCAAGAGTTTCTGAACCTCCCCGATTAGGCTACCTACGTTTCCCTGCTCCTCATAGTTCTTGTGAGAATGAAAGGACTACGGGACCCGGGATGATGAATGCCAAGAAAGATGGATGAAGCTTGAACAGGGGGGCGCCGGGTACTATTCCCCAGTTCTGTCTGGCCGGGGGCGCTCAAGTTTCGACGCTACATGGGCTAAAGTCACAAACTCTATCTAGTAAAATGACTCGATCTAATTCCAATACACGTTGAATGATACAATGTCCGCCTGGCGGAATGGTATCGCGTCTGGCTTACGATGAAGAACGGTGTTACTAATAGCTATACGTAGATCAGGAGATTGCGGGTTCAAGCACGAAGTAAAGTATCGCCATCTTGTGGTCGATCTGGTACACAAATTCCGCAACCGCCCCAGTGTTTTCATCTCGAACGCTGGTCTTTCGGTGCGCCCTTCAGCCTGCGGGACTCTGACGATGACACATACTGGGTGGTCCAGTACCCCGCAGGAGCCTGGTGGCAGACCTGACTGGGCAGGCTGAGACCGAGCCTCGCTCAACTACCGCACCTCACAGACTGCCGCTTCACGGCACAATGCATACCAGGACGCCTGTACACAATTCCTCAAGGCTTTCATCGCGACTTTCGAGGAGCTTGCCAAGAGCCATGGTGGCGTGGGAGTCAATAACAACACCCCTATTGAAACGAGGTACATCTTTCTGAATATGACACGGGTCTTGGAACACTGTCATCTCGATGCGGTGCTGCTCTCGCTCTCGCAGCGCTTTGCTGAATTCACGAAACCGCATGGGTGCAGTCTTTATATGGAGGAAACACAACGAGCTGTATAGGTGAGTATCACTCCTTTGGATTCTGATTACCCTTCGTTGTATCGTGACTTAGTTGTCAATTCGTTGCTTGACAGACCTTCCCGGACAAGAATAAGATTTGAACGGGTCTGTAAAATGACTCTAGCCTCTTTTGTCGAGGATAAATTTTTCCTTAGTACTTCGCTCGCTCGCTTCAACTTGGACATCGACAATTGTTTCACTGAGAATGCATTCACTATCGGAGCTTCCAGGTTCAAAGGTTTACACCTTCCATTGTCATTGAGTTCAGACTGTTGACCGAACAAAGATAAGACAGAATGGGGTTCGTCCTTGACCGGAAGATTCAAACAGACGACGTCATTTCATTTCGACTGATCCGTGTAAAGGCCGATCCATAGCTTGCATCAGAACAGTAGGACCCTTAGCTCGACACTAGGTTCGCTCGGCGCCCTTGGTTTTCTTCGCTGAGTCCTCTTCCACTCGAGTCTCAGTACATGGATCACATCAGTCTGCCATCTAGCCACCTGAGCCCAATGCAGGAATGAAGGCTACAGCCCTTGGGCGCCAGCGTTCAAAGAGCTGCACAAGACATGAACGCGGATGGGGATTCATACCCGTGGTGGCGTTCTCAGGTCTATCACTCTCGTCGAACCTGAGCGATTGAGCCCCACACAGACCTCAACATTCAATGTCAACTTGGATCCACAGGGGTTTTCCGGTGAGTCACTCTCAGCCAAGGTTCATTTCGGTAACTAAACGCCGCTTTGCCTGAGAGGTGTCCATCAATCCCGACAGGCCGACATCATGTCAGAAACAGGAACTGATGATGATTTTTGAGGCTGAGAGACGCAAGGAGCTGAATCTTTTTCTTAAGTATTTAAGGTACCCTTCTCTGGTACAAGACTCCGCATTCCCCCTCCTCGTATTTCCTTCTCTACCACCTTTTCTACCCATCACCCGCCCCCGATCATGAAATTCTCCGCCGTCTTCTGCACCCTCCTCTCCATCGCCACCGTGGCTCTCGCCCACAACGGCACCGACACATCAAACGAGAAACGTCAACTAGCCTCCGTAATAACCTCCTGCACCGCTCCCAACACTGTCGCCCTCACCTTCGATGACGGTCCCTACGACTACATCTACGACATCGCCAACCGTATCAACGATGCCGGTGGCAAAGCCACCTTCTTCTTCAACGGCAACAACTGGCGCTGCATCTACAATTTCGTCGACGCGATCCGTTACGTCCATAGCCAGGGACACCAATTGGCTTCGCATACGTGGTCGCATGGTGATTTGAATACGATGAATAGGGCACAGTTAAATCAGGAGTTTGAGAAGGTGGAGGTGGCGTTGAAGAGAATCGCGGGTGTAACCCCTGCGTTCATGAGGCCGCCGTTCGGGAATTATAATAATTTGGTGAGGCAGGTCGCCGCCGCGAGAGGGCAGAAGGTGGTTATCTGGGACTTCGAGTGGGTGTTCTTCAGGCTCTTGGATTTTTGTTCGTTAGAAGTGACTAACGCGCCTTCTTTCCTTATAGCTCCAGAGACTCTGCCAGCCCTCGTCCCTCAGCTGGCCAGATGCGCTCCGACTATGGACATCTTCTGTGGGATGTCAGACCGAACAATGTGCTCGCTTTAAACCACGAGTTCAACCGTACGTCTTTTTTCTTCTTCACATTCCATTCCGAGGTGCGCTTACTTATTTATCTCTCGACAGACGACACCGTCTACGAAGTAATGGGGCAAGTCGTCGAGTGGTGCCAACAGCGTGGGTACAGGATGGTCACTGTGGCGGAATGCCTCGGTCAGCAGCCGTATCAGAACGTTGGGCAGCCGGAGAATGTGAGTACTGTTTACTTTTGCCTTCAATGTCTTCCTCATTGGAAGAGGGGGACGTGTTCTTTTACTTGTCGGCTCGCCGAGTCGTTCCTTCCCGCTTTTGACGACCATGCTGATTTATTTTCTAGGGAAACTGGCAGTGCTAAGCTCACCCTGGACTTGAACGGACGTTTTTCTTGTCCAGTTCCCTTCAGCTTGGCCTCGGTCCACTCAAACTAGGACTGTAATCCAATTACTTCTGCACTCCTTCCTACTTGCGTTGGTTTTTGGACTTAAAAATTCACTGCACTCATTCGCTTCATATTTATCGTTATTATGATTCGATGTCTCTTTACGGTTTAACGCGTACGCGGATAGTTTTCTAATTTATAGACTCTGATTCCTACTTGACGACTCTCTCTGGACGCGTCAGACAAGCCAGTGACCGCCAACCGCTGGCCGGTGCCAGTGGTTCCATCGAACCTCCTCACGCTTGGTTGGCTGGTCAATCGCTCGTTCGATTGCATAAAGTTTCCCGGGACACACTCACTGACGCATGCGCACAACTCAATAAAAGGATATCGAGAAGACAAAACCCAAAAAAATACCAACTGATGTTATTGACCACCGCAGGGGTCGAACCTGCAATCTCCTGATCTAGACCATTACCTAGTGATCGTAGTCAGACGCGATGCCATTTCGCCAGGCGGCCCTACTCTAGTGCTTTACTTGAATGAGATTATACCCTCGGAAGAAAAATATGACACTCAACCTCAGGGCACCGTTTCTCAATCTGCTATCGAGGACCCGTAGTGACTTCATTTCACCATCTCTCTTTATTCTCTTGATAAATCGTGCATCCTCCCTCGAGAAGCCACACATACACACGGATCCGGAGGTAGCACCCCGTATGTAACCTGTAAGTGACGCGCTCGGAGTCGGAAAAAAATTACGCAGCTGCAGGCTGCAGGTGAGAGGGGTATTCAACTTACAACTGGCCGCCTGGCGAAATGGCATCGCGTCTGACTACGATCGAAGCGTAGTGCATCGCAATCAGGAGATTGCAGGTTCGACCCCTGCGGTGGTCAATTGCGTATGGCATCTTGACTTTTTCACCCTCCACCCCCCTTTTTTTTTTTTAAATTTTCATCGCCACCTCACAAATTACAATCACAACGCAAAAAACCGAATACTGAGCACTAAAAAACAAGAGAACAAAGGACATCAAGTCCCTCGTCTCCCTAACATTCCATTTCAACACGACATTCGACAAGTTAGTAGTAGACTAGCACTACTTACGTAGAGAGGATATACCGATACATCAACGATAACGAGAGATATGTACAAAAACCAAACCGAGAGAAAACAATGGAAAGCCAGGGGTCATAATCAACCATCAGTGGGTGGGTGGGGGGCGTAAAAAGGACGTATCAACGCGTAAGAAAAGAGAGTGACCGATCTAGGTGTATAGAGAGTAGTAAGAAAAGCTGCAAGCAGCGTAAACGCCCACCGATGGAACCCGTGAGATATCAAACCGAGAGAAAAGGAGGAAAAGGAATCGGAGTACAGGAAAAGGGAATCGGGGGAGAGAGGGAATCTAGTGAATAACCCTCCTACCGAACAACGACCTCTGCTGGTGCGCATGGACAGCAGCCTTCTGCACCTGAGCAGCGGCTTGAGCGGGGACCTCCTGACGCTTGCTAATGGTAGCACCAGTGTTGGCGGTACGCTTGGCTTTGCGAGAACGACGGCAGGTCTTGCCAGAGGAACCAGAGGTGCTGTTGCCAGAGTTCTGGTTCTGCGACTCGCCCTGGCCCTGGTTGGAGTTGTCGTTCGAACCGTTGTTGGAGGCGTCGGTGTTACCCTGGCCTTCGTTGGAGTTGTCGGTCGAACCTTGGTTCTGGTTCGACTCGCCGCTGTTGTTGTTGTCGTTGTTCTGGTCGTTGTTGTTGTTCTCGCCTTGGTTCTGGTTGTCGGTCGAACCGTTGTTGTCGCCCTGGTTCTGGTTGTCAGTCGAACCGTTGTTGTTGCCCTGGTCGTTGTTGTTGTTCTCCTGGCCTTGGTTGGAGTTGTCAGTCGAACCCTGGTTCTGGTTCTGGCTCGAGTTATCGTTGTTCTGGGTTCCGGCAGCAGCACCGTTGTTGTTGTTGTTGCTGGTCGAACCGCCAGACGAACCACCGGTCCAGAGCTGAGGTCCAGGCTCGTTGAACGACGTAGGGGAGGTGAAGACGCTGTACTTGGCGAGGTCTCCATCGGTTGCGTACAGCCTACAAGATCGCAAGGATCAGCACTGGCCAGGATAATAAAAAGATCAAAGGAAGACTCACGATCCAGCCTTGGTACCAGCAGGCAACGACACATCGCCACCGTTCACAACCTCAATCTGTGCACACGAGACGTAGGACTGAGGACCCGAGGTGTTGTCTCCGTCGCGCAAGGGGTTGTGGACGGCAATAATCTCAGAGCGGAGCATGTATTGGCCGTTCTTGAGACCCTGGGGGATGTTGTGGGTGTAGGTGGAGCCGTCTTCGACGAGCTGAGCCATGGCCCAAACGCCATCAGTCTTGTAAGGCTCAGACTTTGAGCTCATAGCGTTACGGAGCTGGTCGGTGATGGAACCACCGTTGAGACCGCTGTACTGGATCTTGACCCAGTCGAGGTCGGCAGCGTTGGTGTTCTTGCAGTCACCGTTGCAGGAGGCGATGTAGGTGAGAGTAGGGCCCATGCTACGTTTCGCTCCAAGGTCAACAATGATCGCAAGAAGGGGAAAGATTGGAAGACTTACGCATGAACCCAGCTACCAGCCTTGAAGCCAGCATTCGACAACTCGGGGGTAGCACCCTCCCACTCCCAGCGAACTTCATCACCTGGCTTAGCCTTGGCGACACCAGGGGCAGCAGCGGCTTCTTCACAAGCCATCTTGTTGTTGTTGTTAAAGTCCTGGGGGAGGAGGTACGCTGGGGACGAGGCCTGGTAACCTTTACGGATGGGAGTGTTCTGGTTCTTGGCGTCGCCGTCAAAGTAAATGTTGGGCGCGTCGTACCATGTGCCAGCAATGGAGAAACCTTTGGCCTGGCCGTGGGCAGAGACGAGAGCAGTGGCAGGGAGAAGAGATAGGAGAGAAAGGATAGGGAGGAATGTTGTAGAGAGCATCTTTCTTCTTCGTGGGTGGTTGTGGGTTTCTAGTCGTCGGATTCAAAGATAGTGTGGTGGGTTTGAGGGGTGTAAAGACTGGTTTGGATGAGAAAAGCCTTTAAAAGAGAGATACAGACGAGCTAGAAGAGAAGAAGAGAAGAGGGAAAAAAGAAAAGCGTTGAGGGAGGGTGGGAAAACCTGGTTCGAACTTTGAGAGTCTATTTATACTAATCGAGAGGGGCCCGGTGGAGTGCCGTTGCCCAGGGGATGTTGTCTATTGTTTGTACACAGCTATGTATTTCCGAACCGCTCGAAATTTTTCTTGACACCAAAAATGGAGACAGGGGCCTGACTTTACTCGAAAATTCGAATGGGCGGACACCAATTAGCCTCACTCTCTCTATGCTAGCAAGCTTCCTCTGACTCCTTTCCTTTGTCTCTTACACCAGAAAACTCCAAAAGACTAGACGCTTCCCGACTCGTCCACGTAGAATCCCGTTCACGTAACCGAGTAAAGCCTTCAACCTGTCGTCTCCAACCCTACAAAAGCTTTCATCTCCGGTCTCCCAAGCCCTTTCATCTCCTTTCAAGACATTGCGCGCATACGTTCAACGATCGAAAATATCTTCCGATCCCCTTGACACCCGCCTCATCGCAAGTAGCAACCGCAGTGCCGTTCCTGAGACATGAGGCTCGCCGCAGTCACCGAAAGAGAAACAGTGCGAGTGAACGCTCTCGGACTTTGGACTTGCTGTGCAAGCATCCATCCTACATCAGCCGCTACAAAGGACCATTCGCTGACCCTTTAACTTTGGACCTCTGTACCGTGAACAATCTCTTCGGAGCCTCTTCGTCTACCATGAGCTATTTTTACTTTACTTTACTTACCTTCTCACTCCAACAACTTACGAGTACCGGACGACCGGCGGCTGCTGATTACGAGCTAGTTGCAGCCCTCTTCGCGGCATCTCGCTTTCCGAACCGGCCGTGTTTATTGTCAATTGACAGCCTTCGAGGGTGCAACGAGGGTGTCGTTCAGCTCCTCGTCGCGAAGATACAGGTGCATGAGTTCTAGTTTATCAGAAATGATGCACGAACATGGAGTCGGAGTAAAAGGCTAAAGCCTACCGATCCGGTTCTTCCGACTGCCTACAGGACAGGGCGTGTCGCGCTACTATTACTTTTGAAAGGCCTTTGCCGGTTCATCATTTATGAAGTAGCAGTATTATTAGTTAGACGTTAGCCTTCATAAGTGAAGAGCCGGCAAAGGCCTTTTAGAGGCTAACGTTGGAGGTTAGCCAGCTGTAGGGTGAAACGTTTTCAGAATGAAGAATTGAGTAGCACTTTGGAAGACTAGCTAGCCAGAAACGCAATTCTCGCGTTCTCTGTCCGGATCCGACTAGCCGCAACCACCCGGATTCCCGGATTCTCAGCGCCGCCTCTACCTTCCACTCTCATCAATCAAAGGCAACCCCCTCCCGACCCATACGCCCTTCTTACACTTGAGATCAGAGATAGCAAAGAAGAGACTGAATCCCGCGCATGCGCCAGTGGCAAAAAAGTAAGCTAACAAAAATATATACACCTATTTAGACATATTGACCACCGCAGGGGTCGAACCTGCAATCTCCTGATCTCGATAATTTTGCGGCACTCCACTCGATCGTAGTCAGACGCGATGCCATTTCGCCAGGCGGCCACATACAGTGAAAAGGCAATAGACACTATATATGCTGGCTTTTCGCCATACCGGTGTGTTTTGACCGTTGTATACCGGGCTCGGGATATCTTTGACCTCCGAGTTCCCTGGAGTGGGAGTGATGCAGCTGCGGAGTGCGCAGTCATGCGAGTCTGTAATTGTGGATATCCATCTATAAATTGAACCTCAGTAGGGATTGGTATAGTGGACTGAAGACGCAAAACAGGCTCCGGGTTCTACAGTATGGAGGCGCTGCGAATTTCCAAGTATACCGAATGGCCGCCTGGCGAAATGGCATCGCGTCTGACTACGATAGTCGGGTACGTCGCGAAATTATCGAGATCAGGAGATTGCAGGTTCGACCCCTGCGGTGGTCAATATGTCTGCATTTCGTGTATTTTTCTTTCTTTACCTTTCGTTCCTTTCTTCGAGTCCCACTACAAATAAGAGACAATAAACTGAGTAAGACTATGCCATGCTCAATTTGAACGCCTCCTCATGGGATCACCTCCATGCTGCTTTTTGACAAGTGTGCACTGCGCAGCTAATAATGTCTCTGGGTTACAGGGGGAGCAAGCGTTTAGGTATGGAATGATCACTCGACGAAGTTCTTTTATCCAGATTAGATGGCTTTTATCATTTTCCTGAATGGGAGGTTGACAAGTTGTATCGGTTGAACTCGACACTTGTTTCCTGTTTGACGGGTCCTGGATTTGAGTTATCAGGGAGATCATCATCCCCGGAGCTCAAGCACCAAGATGAGTGAGGATCAACATTCATAAGTTAAGAACGAATAAAAATATGGGTATAGTAACGATAAGTGAGTGAGTGTGAGTGTGAGTAAAGAACGAACGTTGGCAGTAAGTGGTAAAAGAATGTAAAAGCCGGATCTTGGCTTGAGTTTTTGAGTGTCCACACGACCTCGGAGACGAAGGGAGCAAAAGAAGCAGATACCGGAAACGCGTGCACGTCCATCCAGTCTAAAATCCGCGTCCTTTGCGCTCAGCACTGCCAGTCACCCTACAGAAAGCAGATTAGCATGGTCGTTGACATGAAGTAAAAAAATCAAAAGCAGGAGGGGACGACTCAGCCGAGTCCGACGCGTACAAAACCACACGCTCCTCTCCAATGGGGAAAACAGAACGTAGAATACTCACGCTCTCTGGGGACCCATAGCTCTGATATGGCTCCTCACCGAGGCATTCTGCCACAGTGACCATCTCGTACCCTTTTTCTTTGCACCATTGCACGACCTGCTCCATTACGTTCACGGTGTCCTCTGTCAACGGGAGAAGGAGAGGTAGAAAGATGAAGTGGCGCAACGGATAAATTAGCTTTCAACAAGCATCCCGAATAATCTGGGCATCAAACATACCGTTAAATTCGTGGCTCAAAGTGAGCGCATTGTCGGGTCGGGTAACCTCGAAGAGCTGAAGCCAGTTGACCTGGAGTTGCGCGGCGGTAGGACGAGGGCTGGCAGAGTCACCAGAGCTGCAACACACAGGAAAAAAAGACGCGTCAGTCCCAATCCCAATTCACCAACGTTGAATAGATGAACAAAAAGGAAAACACCCACTCAAAATCCCATATAACAATTTTCTGTCCTCTCGCAGCCGCGACTTGCCTCACCAGTTCATCTTGACTCCCAAACGGCGGTCTCATGAACGCAGGCGTCACACCCGCAATTCTCTTTAACGCCAACTCGACCTTCCCAAACTCCTCATTCAACTCATCCTCCCCCATCGTGCTCAAATCACCATGCGACCACGTATGTGAGGCTAATTGGTGTCCCTGGCTGTGGACGTAACGAATCGCCTCAGCGAAGTTGTAGATGCAACGCGAGTTATTGCCGTTGAAGAAGAAGGTGGCTTTGCCACCGGCGTCGTGGATCGTGTTGGCGATTTTATAGATGTGATCGTAGGGGCCGTCGTCGAAGGTGAGGGCGATGGTCTTGGGTTTGGAGCACGAGGTGTACACCGCGGCCAGTTGACGTTTTTCATTTGTTGTGTGGGTGTCGTCTTGGGCGAGAGCCACGGTGGCGACGGAGAGAAGGGCGGTAAAGACGGCGGAGAGTTTCATGGTTGGCCGATGGGTATGGTAAGAGAGGAGATAAGAGAGGGACTTGGAGGAGGGGAATGAAGAGTCTTGTACCAGATGAGGGCACTTTTAAATAAGAAAAAGGCTCGGCCGCTCGCGTCTCTCAGTCTGAAAAATCATTATGAGTCCTTGTTTCGGATATGATGCCGGCCAGGATTTGATGAACAGGCTGACTGACCGAAAATCCCTGTGGATCCAAGTTGACTCTGAGCTCTGTGGAGCTCTGTGGAGCGCAGGTTCGAAAAGCGATACACTTGGGACCGCCACCAGAAACGGGCTCCGGACGCTAGCGTACAGGCGTTATTGCCCAACCTTCCTAGATTGGGCTCATGACTTTATCTATGTACTGAGACAGAGAGAAAGAGGACCCAGAGCGCCGAGCAAAGCTGTTGTCAAGCAGAGAGTCCGACTTAATGTCCGACGCAAATGAAGAATCTGTCAGAAATGTAATGACGTCGTCCGTTCGAACCTTCAACCAAATGACAGAACAGCGACCCCCATTCTCGTCTTTGTTCGGGTCACACTATGGCCAGCGATTGAGAGTTAAACGTTAAACGCGTAAACCTCCGAACCTGAAAGCTCCAATAGTGAATGCATTCAAGTGAAACAATGAGTCATCGATGTATAAATTGAAGCGAACGAGCGAACGAAGTACTGAAGAAGCAAGAAGCTGAATTTATCCTCGACTAGGGTCATCTTTCAAACCCATTCAAATCTTGTTCTCTTGCTCGGGAGGTCTGTTAAGCGACAAAATGACAACTAAGCCACGGTACAACGAACAGTAATAAGAACCTAAAGCAGTGATACTCACCTTTATATTAATTATTGTGTTCGTTCCATCTGGAGACTGAAGTTGTACAGTTTTGTGAGTTCAGCAAAGCGCTGCGAGAGCGAGAGCAGCTCCGCATCTAGATGACAGTGTTCCAAGACCCGTGTCGTGTTCAGAAAGATATACCTCATCTCAATAGGGGTGTTGTTATTGACTCCCACGCCAACATGGCTCTTGGCAAGCTCCTCGAAAGTCGCGATGGAAGCCTCGACGAACTGTGTACAGGCGTCCTGGTATGCAACGTGGCCTGAATCATGCGACTCGTCTCCTTCATTACAGCGGCAGTCTGTGAGGTGTGGTAGTTGAGCGAGGCTAGGTCTCAGCCTGCCTAGTCGGGTCTACCACCGAGCTCCTGCGGTGTACTCGACGACCCAGTACATGTCGTCTTTGTCCCTCAGGCTGAGGGGCTCACAGGGAGACCGGCGTTCGAGATGGAAACACTGGGGGCGGTGCCGGAGTTTGTGCACCACGTCGGCCACAAGACGGCGATCCTTTGATTCGCGCTCGCTGATGGAAGACTCCTCCTCGGATTCGGTATTTTCATAGGACGGATGCTGACAGAAGAGACCCTTGAGCATGAGCGAGGACAGTAAAGAGAAACATTCAGTCAGACTCACATATCCTCGAACCTACGTTATCAAGTTCTGAAAGGTCCTTTCCCAAGAATATCCCCCGCTCACTAGATATTAGTACGAATGCAAGGTCGACGTTCGATAGGTCGTCCAACAGATCCCGCGTTGGTTTGGGGATTGAAATACAGGTAACAGAACTCGAACCACTCTGGGAAGAAGTGCCTGTTTCCCTCCCCGTAGCGTTGTTTGGAGCTAACGATAATACACGTTAGAAGAGATTGAGAATCTGCGAGAGGACAGAAGGAAGACGAATGGTATCGTAGTACATACCTGGAAGTCCACACCTTACTGGATGCGAGACTTTGGAGCCACTGCCGTACAAGGGCATGCATCTGGACGACCACGTCGATGCAGAAGTTGCATATCCGGGTCTGGTTCACTAAGTATTCCCTGAATGAGGGGTGACAGATACGAATATCATCGCCCGAGTCACGAATGTCCAGCACGGATCGCAAGCCACATAAAGTCAAAGCCACCTGTCCTACAGGCAGTCCTAGCAGTAACTCTATCTTGACGGGGATCTCATGTCGTCAGGAAGCAGGATGATAGGATGTCGCGGGTTTGGCCATAATCGTTGGAATTGGCATTGGCACCCCGACTTACCATGTGGTAGAGGGTGTTGAGTTCATTGTGAAGTGAAATTTCCGGATATTGTGGGTTACTGTATAGGACGAGTCAGTGCTGGGTTACCCGAGGGGATTTTTGCCTACGTTTCAGATTCTTCGAATCCGGCCCTAAGCCGTTCAATAGTCCCCTCGAACCGATCATGAAAATCAGGATGAGATACGCAATTTATAGTATGCGCTAGAAGCGCTCTCTCCTTCATACGCTTTGTAATGAGAAATTCAATCGCCGTCCCATTCTGAACCACGGAATAGCACCATTATAACTACCATGAGGATGCTGTTGAGTGTTTGCAGCACCGGTAAGACTCGGGCATTGAAATATTGAATTCTTGCGTTGGAATCCTAGAGCAAGAACAATTCAACATTTCGAATCATTGTAGGCCATGCCAACGGAAGAAACCTTGTCGACACTCTCGCATATGCGGCATGGCTGTTTGAATGAGAAAGGCGCGGACGACAGGCGCTTATAATTTCTTGGTTTGAAACTTGCATGTGACTCAGACGTCCTAATCCGGCCCGGACTTTTTGACCTGTTACCAGTGGTAATGGTGGGAGGCAAACCCTGCCAGTTTAAACTCCGACTCGAAATGTTCCCATCCGCCAAATTGGTATTTTCAGAGGCAAATTTCAGTATCACGCTGTAGACACACATTCACGCTTCGTACTAGGGGAACAAATTGTACTTAGAGGGAAAATAAACAACTTGTTCAGACCCGCGACTTTTCATTCATTGGTTTAGACTGATTTCACCCCTGCATATCGCGAGAATCTACTACTTCCGGCAAGTATCCCGGCTCGGGGGTCTGAACATTTTTTTTTAATGGCCAATACCTTGCCAAAACCGCTCTCAACCGGGGAGTAGCAGCGCCGTACATCCTCGAAAAGGTAGGACCCGGTCTGACGGCCAAAAGTGCTTACATAAGCCAATCAGACGCGCCTTTCCGCGTCGCGTCAGTTTTCCATCTCAATTTTCGACGCGTTTTCGACGTGTTTTATCATACTATGACACAATCAAGGTCATTGCAGATGAATACAAGACGCAAAAAAGATCTTCGAAGCAGCAACAGGCTCTCCTCAATGCCCGGGAAAGTCTGGAGTCAGTTGATACCGAAAATGTGGATCCAGCCGAAGAAGACACTTCAAATGGAGATAGCGAGGGAGAGGCCTTGAAAGAGAGATGCGAGGGTATAGAG